TGGCGAGCAGGGTCTACTCTTCGTTGCGGTGCGCAGGCTTCTCACTGTGGTGGCTTGTTTGTTGTAGAGCATGGGCTCTAGGTGTGCAGGCTTCAGTAGTTGTGGCACGTGGGTTCAGTAGTTGTGGCTTTCAGGCTCTAGAGCACAGGCTCAGTAGTTGTGGCAGACGGGCTTATTTGCTCTGCGGCATGTGGGATCTTCCTGCACCAGCGCTCAAACCTGTGTCCCCTGCATTGCCAGGCAGATTCCTAACCACTGTGCAACGAGGGAAGTTCTGTGGCTCTGTCTTTTAGTAGTGGTGTAATTTTTGAATGTGACAGACTCTTAGGACCTCCATTTTTGTATCTATAAACTACATGAGGAAAAACCCATCTACCTTGCAGTAGGGTTTTCTGTGAGAAATAAATAAGATAGTGTATATCTAATAGAGTACCTTGTGTTTAGTAGGATTTTGATGCATGCTATTATGATTAAAATTATTGCAGATTAAACAGCTTTCCCAGAATTCACTGGTACAAGACTGATACGTATTAGTTTTTGTGGGTCTTTTTCTCAGCTTTCATCTACTTGGTGTCTGGTAGCTATGTTACCTCTTTTGGATACAAAATATAGAGGTAATGTGTTCCTGTCTTGTTATATATACTTACAATTTACTGATGTGTGTTTCCTTCCTCAGGGGTTGTGATCATATCGAAGTAACATATATTGCATCTTGAACAATGATAAAGTAGTAGCAAGCTACCAGTGAACAACTATTTATTATTTACTGTGTAAAAACTACTATCGTAAATAGGCATTGTGGGGAAGCAAGGGATTATAAGATAAAGATTCTGCCCTTTAGGAACTGTCCATATATTTGGGAAGACATAGTCATTAAAACAAACCCACAAAATCCTCAAGGAGGAAATAAAGGTCAAATGAATAGGATAGATAAATATTTTGATTCTACTTCTCTCACTCTCACATCCAGTCTATCACCAAGAACCTTGTTCTGCTTCCAGGATGCATCTCGAATCCATCCTCTTCTTTCCGTCTCCGCCATCACCTCTCAAGTGCATCCAAGACCTCATCTCTCTTTCTGTTGGGCTACTGCTGTAGACACTAACCAACCTCTCCTTTTACTCCTGTTCTCCCATCCCTTATCTACCCAACAGTCAAAATGGTCTTTTAAAAATTCTAAGTCAGATTATTTCATTCCCTTGCTTAAAATCCTCCAATGGCATTCCACTGCTTTTAAATAAAACCCAGGCTCTTTCCTAAGGCTTACAAGGCCCTCTGTGACCTGGCTGTGCTCTTCTCTGCACCTTCATCTCATGCCACTCTCCCTCTTACTAACTGTGCTCCAGCCAACAGGTTGCATTTCCCTTTCTGGAGCATATCAAGAGCTTTCTCGCCTCAGGGTCTTTGCATTGGCTATGTCATTTGATTGAAACGTTCTTCCTCTGGTCCTGGACATGACTGGTTCATTCTCATCCTTCAGGTCCTAACTCTGATGTTACCTCCTCAGAGAGCTCAAACCATTCCTGACCACTCTATTTAAAAAGTCTTTCCTATCCTATCACGTTATCTTTCCTCCTACATAACATTTACTACAATCTGCAATTACCATGTTGATTTATTTTTTTGTCTAATTATTCTCCTCCTAAGTTCTGCGAGGGCAGTGATATTTTCCATTTTGTTCTCTGCTATAGTGACCAGCATAGTGTCTGGCATGTACTAGGTGCTCAGTAAATATATGAATAAATGAACAAATGAACACAGGACACGAAAGTTCAGAGGAAGAAGGGATCCCTCTATTAGTCATGGAGCAGATTCATCACTGGGAAGGATTTTGCTAGGTCTGAGGGAGACAGAGTGTACCTCAAGGAGAGAGAAAGGATGAGCAAGGTAGAAGCGGGTAGAAAGGGGGCATATACTGTAGGTTTTCAGAGATGGAGCTGCTCTTGAGAGGCAGTGGGTGTAGGAGAAGGAATCTGAAGGATGTGGATTCTGCTCCTAGCCATCACATGACTATCTATGTGACTTTGGATGTTTTATTTAACCATGTTGAGCCATTTTACCTGTAAAATGGGGGAAATAATCTCTACCATGGAGGGTTACTCTAAGAAGTAATGATATATACTTGGGGCCCTATTGGGATGCATATGATGCTAAATGGTAGCTATTCATACCAATATTTAATTTGGTTTCTCAGCTGTGGGTGTGCATAGAAATCAAATTTGCAGCTTTGTAGAAATGTGGATGCCAAGAACCCAACTTAGTACTACTCATTCAGAAGAGTTATCTCTGGGTGAGGGTGGGGATGTGTGTGTGAGACTCCAGCATGGGTGATTTGTTCAAAAGCTCCCCAGGTGATTCAGCTTGTATAGCTATTGTTTAGAACCATGTGTTTAATCCAAGCCATGCCGGAATCCTCTCTAAATATCTCCTGCCAAGGGACTGTCCAACTCGAATAGCTCTGTGATGGGAACTCACAGAGTTGGGTCCAGATTGCCTACCACTGGACATCTACCTGAGTCCCTAGAGAACAGGCTATTGATTTCTTATCTACCCCCAAGTTCATATTAATTTTAAAAAATCTTGGGACTTCCCTGGTGGTGCAGTGGTTAAGAATCCTCCTGCCAATGCAGAGGACACGGGTTCGATCCCTGGTCCCTGAAGATCCCACATGCCGGAGAGCAACTAAGCCCGTTCGCCACAACTACCGAGCCTGTGCTCTAGAGCCTGCTCACCACAACTAGAGAAAGCCTGCGTGCAGCAACGAAGACCCAACACAGCCAAAAAAAATCTTGTCGTCCCAGCTAAAGCCACCATGCCTTCCATTATTCTTGGTGATGTCCAATATAGGAGCCAATTTATTTATCTTCTGTACTCTTATTCCTTTAGTATCTATGCTTCTCCCCTAATCCGACTATCTGTCACCAGGTTCCCTCCCATATCTCTCCAATATGCTGTTTAGAATTCCAGCTTCAAGGTCCATAGACCTGCATAAACCTATACCCTCAATCTGTTCACTGATGATCCGTCTAATTTCCTGCTGTAACTGAACCCTGGCTTAAACTAGGTGTTTTTGATGTCAACAATCACTGGACAGTCTTAGGAAACATTAACTACCTGTTCGGTTGGTTGCTCATGTACACACAAATATACTCATGTCTTGGAATGTTTGGGGCCAGTAAACATGTCTAAAGGTTTGATGTTGGGAAAACATTCTGAGGGCCAAGGGGTCTTGTCTTGTGTCTGGCCAACATGTATGAGAAGGGAACAAATTCCTATGAGCAAACATGGGACTTGAGAGATAGATAGGGTTGGAGGATTTATTTAATGACCACCCCATTCTGGTCCCATAACTGCTCAGGATTTGCATCTGCACTGACCAGAGCCTAACTCTTTTTTGAAAAATCTCAGAGCCAAGTGACTGGTCAGGTGGGTTGAGCTGTTACATTGAGAGTCTTATGATAACTCCAATGACAACAGATGAAACCCTGCTCCAAGAGGCCTCCCTCAGGGAAGAAACTCTGGGGTTCTAGAACAGACCAAACATCCACAAGGGGTTGGAGAAGAGTACAATTACAGTAAATCCACCAATTCTGTATCAGAAGCTCATTTAAGAGAAGCCACATATTTCTAATGCCATGAATGGTTAATGGGGAGTTGGGAACAGATCATAACATTTTCTCTGTTTTTGTATGCTTTATCTCCACAAATGGACTCATGTTTTAAAAGTCTGGATATCAAGAGTGCTTAATTTTCTTGGCTTTCTGCAGATGGGGGAGAAAACTCAAAATCAGAATGAAGGCCAAAAGTTATGTATTTTTCTTTCTGGATTTAGGTATAAGTGGATTACATTTGCAACTATTATGACTACTTTACTTTATATTTTATATTTATTATGTTTCCTTGAATAAAATTGTGTCTATGAGCTCCCCACTGCTGTATGGGAAATTTAGCATGTTTTATTTCTTCTCTTCACTTCGCTGCTCAGATTTCATTGAAATAGTTTGGAACTTAAATTTCAAATTATTAGTTTTTTCACATTGTTCAGCCTTTAGTTCTAGAATCCTTTACTGCTAGTTCTAGCCAGCTCTACAGTCACACTTAAATGATTATGGAGACTTACCTGTACATCCTGCTGGTTTCATTGCTCACTAGTGTTTCTTCTAAAGCCCTGGCCTTCTCCTTTCTTAGGGCATTTATTCTGATTCTTTTTTTTTTATTGTTGGTCTGAGGTTATTTTTAAATATTTTTCCAGAAAAGATACATGTATAGATTTTTTAAAAATTCTAAATATCTGAAAATGACTCTTTTCTTCTTCTATGAAGTAGAGATTGGCTGGGTCTAAAATGGTAATGTCATAATCCTTGTCCTTCAGATTGTTTTCTATAAATATTCCAGTGTCTTCTGGTAGTCAGAGTTGCAGAGAAGAAATTTCATGTCAATTTTATAATTCCAGGTTTGTCTCCCTCTATGCAACTGATTTATTTTTCTTTGAGAGGTACATATATATTGAATGCTTAAACTATAAGTACTTTCCCCATTAATTTGCTTTAAAAAGTTCAGAGATTTTGTATATATTTCATTTACTCTTCAGTTAGCAAAACAAAAACAAACAAAAAACTACATTTGCATTATTGTCTACTCAGGAGTTAATGATCTGAAGATACATACTAAAAGGTACCAGAAAATCTTAATATGTAAAATAACCCTGAGACAGATTACTTCATTGACCAAGGAATTCTCTATAGTATAAATAATCTCATGATTGGAATATTTTCTATACATGCATGTTTATAAATTGTATTAAACTCAGAGATCTCTATTTTCCTTCCTTCTGAACAATCTTATTTTAAATACCCGCAACTGGATTATTTGACGGGGTTAGTGTTTTCTCTTCTCCCATATGACTGGACTCTATCATTACTAAATATTTATTTCTAAAAGGCGAATTATGGGGTAGAAGTCATGGGTCATAACAAGTGCTGTGCTACATCCCATTGCAGAGATCAACTGTGGCCGCCCCCCGGAAGTGCAGCATGCGGTCCTGGTGGGGAATCACAGCTCCAGCCTGGGCGGTATGGCTCACTATGTCTGTCAAGAGGGCTTTGAGAGCCCTGGAGGAAAGATCACTTCTGTTTGCACAGAGAAAGGGATCTGGAGAACAAGTACTTTGTCATGCACAGGTATAGACTCCATTCTGTGGGCCTCCTGTCTCGTGGAAGCAAACAGCAGAACCTAAAACCTTCGCTTGCTTACGCTGTGTACTGCCCTGGCGGTGCCATTTCCCTGGGCAGGTACCTGGCTTTAGGTTTGTCAGCTAAACCCTGAAGATTTAGAGGGTGGATTGGGAAAATAAGTTGGATAGGAAATATTATGCATCTAATCTTTTGAAACCCACCTTAAATCACAGTGATTCCTCTCTCTTCTGCTTGGTTGCCTGAGATATTTTTCGCCATGAGCCATTTTCTCAGGGGGGAATACTTAAAAGTCCTAATTAAGCCCATGTTGACAGCTTTTCAGAGAGAAGGTGGTGTAATGTATATCGAGGTTTTTAATGTTTATTTTTAATCGTGGTAAAATATGAACAACGTAAAATCTACCATCTTAACGATTTTTTCAGTGTTAAGTAGATTCACGTTGCGCAACCAATCTCCGGAACTTTTTCATGTTGAAAAACTGAAACTCTATTCGGGTTAAACAGTAACTCCCTACTTCCCCCTTCCCACAGCTTCTGGTACCACCATTCTGCTTTCTGTTTCTATGAGTTTGACTAATTGACCTCATGTAAGCAGAATCAGGTAGTATTTATCCTTCTGTGACTGGTTTATTTCACTTAACATAATGTACTACAGGTTCATTCATGTTGCTGCCAATGGTGGGATTTCCTTCTTTTTTCTGGCTGAATAATATTTTGTAGTATATATATAAACATTATGCTTATCAATTCGTCCATTGATGGGCAGTTGTGTTGCTTCCGCCTTTTGATTATTGTGAATAATGCTGCTGTGAGCATGGGTATACAAATATCTCTTTGAGACCTTGCTTTCAGTTCTTTTGGATATATACCCCCAAATGAAATTACCGGTGAAAAGGAGTTTTGAGACTTCAGTTCACATTCTAGCAGTGGCATGTGTTAGCTGTGTGTCATTAGGTAAGGCATTATTCTCTCGGAGCCTCAGTTTCCTCATCTATAAAAGGGAGAAAATAAGACCTGCTTTTCCTACCTCAAATAATTGTTGAGAGGGAATCAAATGAGATAATCTATGGGGAGCATTTTGAAGTTTAAACCACTGTGCACATGTTAGGTCTTTTACTGAAATTATTAACCTTGCTTGAAGAGGATCTTCTCATGAGTCAGAAGTGTAGACTTCCACATGCTTTATTTCACACCTGGGCCTCCAAGAAATAAGATGGGAAAAGGCAATGATTCTTAGGTTTGTGGTGGTTGGCCGTGGGTGTGACAAATGGTTGTCACCTGGTCTTGAATGGCTCTGGCAATTTATTTCAAGCTGTTCACTTGCTTGGCTCTGAAGAGTGAAATCTCTAGGTCGCTTTGGTCTAGGTCTCTGGCTCGATTTTGTAGCAGAATTATGGAAGAATGTCTTGGGTGTTGCCAATCGAAGTTTTCCATAGGAAAGTCTAACCAGAGCAAATACGACATGCAGACTGCTGGTGATTATTTGTCCGTAGACGAATGGTTCGTGACCATTTTGGGGTTAGGAATTTGATGAAATCTATCAATTTGTTCAGTAGATGTTTATTTAGCATACACTATTTAGCATACACTATGTGTGAGGTACTTTGCTGGACACCACCTTCTTGGAATTTACAGGGCAATAGGGTAAATAGACTTTTCTCCAAAGAAATGCACATACGGATATAATATTTTACAAAATCATGGACCTCTGAAGGCCTTGGGTAAAGCATCCCTGGAGTAGATGAAGAACTTAGGTCTGCTGCTGAGGCCCTGCCTGTGCCATGCATTTCCCACATTCAGTTATCTCCACCACAACTGCAGCAGGCTGTAGGCTAGAGATTGCAATCATAGTAACAAGGAAGGGCAGACACGGATGAGAACCCAGAGATCGAGTTCGGCATTTTCTTAGGTCCCACTGACTTGCCGAACTTGCACAGAGAAGCAAGGGCAAACCTGTAACTAACGCCAAGGACTCCAGAGTTCCAGTCTTCATACTTGGGGACATTGAGAAGAGCTAATGCCGTTTTGAACCAGACTGATAGTCATTCCAAACTATGATTGCACCTCCAGCAGCACCTCTAAGAGTTATTTGGAGGAAGTGAGGCAGCTGCCTCGTGGGTTGCTGAATTCAACATCTGGGGAGGTGGTCTTGGCCCAGAGCTACCTATGGAGTCACTTGATCAGAGAGCTGGGCCTAGCTTCTGGACCCTCAGCCATTTGCTTCATTGTTCAAGCTGCTGTGCTTCCACCATTCAGAATTCAGTGGGGGTACCAGGATTAGTCACTCCATGAAAAACCAGTGGATCTGCATGGGGCATAGTAAGCTATTAATTAGCTGATGCTTGTAGAGCACTTTGAAGAACAAACATGTTATGTAACTGCTAATTATAATTACCAACCTCAGCCTGCCACCGTTCACAAAGTCTGTGGCTCCAGCTGCAGCTGTTTCCATGGGTTTATGCAAGCTTTGATTTAAGGAGAGAAAAGGCTTTCTCCCTGAGGGCTGTGATCTTTCTGTGAGGAGGCCTCTATGCCCTCAATCAAGATTGGCAGCTAAATTCAATTTCCGCAGATAAAGGGGGCAATTTACATGCTGATTAATTCATGGCACAGTGCACATGATTGCTGGGTAGGTAGGTACGAGAGGCTTCTGGAACTGTAGTGAGAGATGCTGATTACCGTGGCTCTTCCTCAGCTGCCCTCCCTTCCTTCTTTTTCCTGTTTTTCACCTATTTCTTCACACCTCCCCTTCTGTCCCAAATCTCTCTGTGTATTTTGTATTTACCTCCTTCAATGTTCACTTTTGGGTTTTTTCCCCATCTTCTTTTACACCCCTGTCCTTTGTTTTCATTCTGTTTACCCATCGTTTTATACATGAGTGTTTCATTCTAAATTGGGTAGAATAATTTATCTTCACTTTACGTGAGTTGTTGTTAGTTAAAAATATTTTTGGAGTCCCTATTTCTTTGGATTAATAGGACAGATCTGTGTGTATGTGTATACACACACACACACACACACACACACACACATATATTTAATTTTATTGAAGTATACTTGATTTACAATGTTGTATTAATTTCTGCTGTACAGCAAAGTGATTCAGTTAGATCTGTATATGTTTTTAATGGAGTGTGAACTCCGGCAGGGTGGTGGGACTTTTTTTTTTTTTTTTTAAGTCCAGTTTAGACTGGAAACTCCAGAGAGCTGAGAATTAGGCAATTACTTTAGTGTCTGGAAAAACCCCAGGTGGAAGCTTGATGTTCAGTGAGTCGGTTTACCTCAAGATCAAAGGGACTGATTCATTCTTGATAAGACTGTCCCTGGCTTTCATTCTGCACAGGTCATTTGGCTTTTTATGTTTAGAATCTGAGTTAATAATGATGAAGTTGACGCTCACTCACTCCAGGCTCTCTAAAGAGCAACATCTCTATGGAAACACAGACTGGCTGCTGGGATCCTTTCTGGGCCCCTCACCCGACTCAGGGACCAATGCCAAATGCCTCCAGGCCTCCTGTTAGCTCCTGCCCTTCTGTTTTGTGGTTGATCCTCCTCTTCAGCCCAGTGAGTGCTCACTTGCAGCTGGACATATTTCAGATAGAAGAGAAAGGTCAGCTGGAATAAATGGGCACATTTATGCAAATAGCCACATGGCTGGGATTTGTTTGAATATGTGCATAATGTATAGACCGTCAAGCATTATAGCTACCATTGATCGTGCACCAACTTAAACACCCACGGCTCTGCTAGGAGCCTTGATGCTTGATTTCATTTTGTCCTCAGAAAAACCCTATGAAGTATTGATGTTTTCATTTCATAGATGAGTAATCTGAGACTCATAAAAGTTACGCAACTTTCACAGGGTCTTTCAATGACTAGTAAATGGCAGAGACAGGATTTGAACTCAGGCCTTTAGACCTGGAAAGCCCACGATCTGTCTCCTGCCACTTTCCTAAGCTTGAATTATTTGTAGACCACCCTGACAATGTTTGCCAGAATAAAAGTATTTTTTAATTTAACAAGTTTCTTAAAACAACTTATGTTTAAAACTTAAATTTTTAATTTAAATTTATTGATTAAGGACACAGTAATATATGTGATATCATGAGTTTGATGCACACCTGGGTTTTTTCAAATATACACAAAAATCAATACAAAGCAAACATATAAAAATGTATTCATGTGCCACCAAACACTCATCCTAAAGTGAATAACGCATTTTAGGAAAGCACTACTTTAAGCCATGCTATTTCTACCTATTTTATGTGACCCTAATGACTTAGAAAGAAGAAAGGAAGCATAGCAAAACTCTTATAGCCAAACATGCATTTATTCAAAGTTGTCACCTTGGGAAGCCATACCCTCATTTCAGTGATGCTGCTATTATCAAAATGTGTTGGTTTTGTAATCTGTTTGGGCATTGCCTTTGAAGGTAGTTTATGAGTCATATTAGAAGACTGGTCATATCACTTTTGAAATCAGATACTAGAAATGACATTGAGCTTGACGTTCTGTTAAGGTCTCTTGAATTTATTCTGTAGGACCTTTTACTGTTTTCAAAAGTAGAGAAAATGGATATAAAATTGGAAACCAAGAGAGTGCACTAGACTAGGCCCTGCCCACAATGGGACTTCTGAGAGAGTAGTCGGTGCTCACTGTCTCTGTCCCCTCCCACCCTGTTCTCTTCTGAGCTTCCTGAAGGAGAATCAGGCGTCCAACACCCCACTTCACTGTTGCTCTCGCTCAAGGTCACTAATGACCACCTGTCAAATTCATGGTCTAGTGTCAGTCCTCCTTCCTCTTAACCTTTCCACAACATTTAGCATTGTTGATTATCTATCCACACATTTATCCATCTATTCAACCAGTCAACCAAATGATAAATATTTTAAAAATATCTATGCCCAACCAACTGTATTAGTTTCTGGGGATGGAGAGATAGATAGATCTTGTCTTCGCTGTCATAGAGCTTACATTCAGGAGAGATAGACATTAAATAACTAATTACAAAATTATTTAGTTACAAACATGATGAGTACCACAGAGAAATACTGCATAGAATACTAAAATACATAACTTTATATATGTACATTTATACACACACACACACACGCACGCACCCATGCACCACATGCAGAATCTAAAGCAAAGCAAAGGTACTTTATAACCCACAGAGGCTTTGGTTCCCAAAGTCCAATGCAGAGTTCAGTTGGATGCTGTGGGGGCCTACTTTGTTTAGGCCAGAGGAGCCTAAACGTCCTACAACTGGACAAGGCAGAGACCTGCTCTGCCTGCCTCTGTCCAAAGTCAGACCTCAGATCTGATCATGGCACTACGTGCCCTCCTCCACTGGGGAAGAAAGAGCCATATGAGAGCCCCCAGTGCTTATGTTCTGCTCCAGGCCCTTCTTGGGTGGGAGCGAGGAGGTCGGGGGGACTGGTGGGAAGGAAGAGAGATAACGTTCGAGGAAGCAGACACTCCTTCAGATCTTCTCTTTCCTTGACTCTCGAGGCATCACACTCTCCCAGCCAACCTCCCACCTGCTTTTGCATTCCTCTTTCTCCTCTAGTTTCCCCTTTGGTTTCCATGTGTCCCAGTGCCCTGCTATCATGCCACCTGCTCTCCATGTCCTACCTGGGCATGTCACCTGCACCCAGGGCTTCAACCACCATCTACCCACTGATGACCTTCAAGACTGTTTTTTTCACCCAGGTAGATAAACTCAGACTTAGCATGTTCTAAACACAATTCGTTCGTCTCTTTCTCACAAACCCAGTCTGCTTCCTCCTATATTTCTTATGAGTACAGTAGAAGGCAATCTATTCAGACTCTCAGGCTCAGAGACTGGCAGTCAGCCTAGACTCCTTATCTCTTGCCTCCTATTGCTTTCCTTGAGAACTGCTCATGGTTTTAAATCCGGTGCCCTGATTTCATCTTTTCACCTTTTTGCTGAATAGCTACTTAAGTGCAAAGGCTCTGGGCTTTGGAGTCTGGCAGGTCTAGTTTTGAATCCTGACTTCACTGCTTACTAGCTGTGTGACTTTTGGCAGGTTACTTAACTTCTCTAAGCCTTAGGCCTGTAAAATGGACATTATAATGTCAAATTCATGGTGTTATTTTGACGATTAGATGAATGATACATTTAGAGTACCGTACATGCTATCTGGTCCATAGTAACAACTCAATAAACGTTCACTCATTATTGATTTTATGATTGCCTCCTATGACTGCTGGGAAAATGTGATCAAATCTATAAAGACCTATGTATCAGTGTTTGATGTATTGTAATCACTGAGTAAAGGGTATCACATTTTTTCCTTGTGACCTCCAGTGTCTCCTTCAAAATACACCAGAGTTATCTTTCTAAAAAAAGAAGTCCCCATCATCTTCCTGCTTTTAGCTCTCCAAGGCTCATCGGAGTAAGTCTGCGCTTAGTCTAGCGAGCAGGTCTTCCCAAGTCTGATCCCTTCCTCTCTCTGCAACCTCGCTTCCCCTCTTTCCTCCTCCCCAGCACGTTACACGTCTCTGTCACCACTCTGAATCTGCCACACCCTTTACACTTGCAGGCATTGGACCTACTGTTCAGTCTTCTGTCTTCCTCACTCTTCAGCCATTCAGCCCTGAAGGTCATGCCCCCCACGAAGCCGGCTTCCCCAGGTCTTCCAGTGAGAGTTGGTGGCTTCTTTCTCTATACCCTGTGGTACTTGTGTGCAACTTTATCCTGATATTTATCAAGTTGTAATTTTTCTGCTTATATGTTTGCTCCCTCCATTAGAAGCCATGTTCCTGAGGGAAGGACTTCTGTTCTGATCATCGTCACAGCCCAGTGCCTGGCATAGGAGGATGCTTGGCATTCGATAATCGTTCAGTTAAGGGTCAGTGGCGAATAAAGTGCCCTGGAGTCAGTTCCAAAGGGAACTGAAATGTTTTCAGTTTTCAGTACTATTAGAATTCGGGCTTAGCCTCCCAAGTCATCTCTTTTAAAGGGGCAGCATGGATATGGAGGTTTAATAGCTGACACATTTATAACGAAGTCTTTCCAGCTGATTCGTAGACACCTGGAGGGAAGAGCAGCCGGATTTTGTTATACTACTCCTTGGGATGAAATATCTGACATCCCTCTAATCAGATCTGGGTCCCTCTGTGCAGAGAGCATGGCACAGCCTGGAGGCAGATAGCATTTTTGAGACGTTATTTGCAGTTGTCATAGTGAATGAGCAAAAAGGAAGAACAAGAAAGGAAACTTTCATGTTTCCTTCCTAATCTCTGCTTGGGTGGCAAAGAGGTGCCGAGTGGGAAGGAAATGTGCTTTACTGGCAACTCAGAGAGAAGGTGAGGGGTGGGATGTTTCCTTTTCCTTCTGGACCAGGGGGTGAGTATCAGAGGGATGTGGGAATGAGCAGAGGAGTCTAGAACTCTAGGGCTTTGAAGGTCAGTGGAGAGAGAAAGGGCCAGGAATATTTGGGGCTTGTTCAAGCTGATAAAAGACTGGTGCCAACATTATCATTATGCTACCCAAGGAGGTGAATGGATAGGTCTTTGCATCTATCAGGATACCCATGTCTACAACTGGAGTATTTCTTTGATTTCAAATTATCTGTGCTCCAGGGAGAAACATTGATGTAGAGACCCAGGGGTGCTTTAGACAGCCATAGGTGATCCTCTCCAGAAGTTTGCCTGTTTTCCTCTCTCTGCCTCCATTTATTCCCACTTATAGTCAGCTGACCTGGGCTTACCCAAGACCAGGTAATGTGTGACATAGAATCTCGGCAATGCTGCTGAAGGGATGATTTAGTAAAGATATAAACTCTTCCATTGGCAAAGAGAGAAGTAGACTAGGGTCTGTCTAAAGATAGTATTGGTTCTGAGTAGAGGAGAAATTAGTCAACCCTACAGGTGACTGAGGTGCAGGCTCCCTTTCCCACTTGGAGGCTGAGAAGAGATTTACTAGAAGGGAAGGATGGGAGCTGAGATGAAGAGAGGCATCTTCTGGGGCAGAGACTTATCTTTCTCACCCTTCTTGATGGGAGTCTTACCTTGGGTTTCCCAGAAAGCAGGGCCTGAGGCAGAGGGCTTATATTTTTTTCACAATAGGGAGTGCTATCCCAGGAAGCAGGAGTGAGGGCTAAGGTGAGTAGAGCAGGGAAGGAAGCAGAGCCAGTGTAAGGACACCTTGTTGCAGCGGTCTTCACCGAGTGCAAGTATTGCTCCATCAGTGCGACAGCGCCCTGAGAGGTCTTTGTAGGTCTGCCCTTCAAGGGGAAGAAAGACTTATCTAGTACCTCCTGTCCCCCAGGAGGTGTTAATTCCCCCCCACTTCCAGGTTGCATGTGCTAGGGTGTGCAGCAGGGAAGCCCCAGCATGGGAGACAAGACACGGTCATGGTGTCAAAGCCCATGCAGGGCTGGAACAAGGAACAGGAGAAGCTGAGAGGTTCTAGAACATCCACAAGGGATGTCTGATTCAATGGGGAAGCTTGAATTTGGGCTGAGGAACATTCCTGTGTGGTGAGGTGATGATTCCCTTCTCCAGAGGTGATGGTTTGGTAACTTCTGCCCGCAGGGAATTTTATTCCTTTTGATGTTGGTGTAAGTGAAATTTTTTTTTTTTAATTTCCTTTTTGGATTGTTCCTTGCTAGTGGACAGAAATGCAATTGATTTTTTGTACATTGACCTTGTATCCTGCAACCTGGCTGAACTCCTTTCTTAGCCTTGTGTGTGTGTGTGTGTGTGTGTGTGTGTGTGTGTGTGTGTGAATTCCTTAGGATTCTTTATAGACAAGAGTATGTCAACTGTGAGTAAAAATAGTTTTACTTATCTGCAGGGAATTTATTAAATGGATACAAAGCTAGATCCTTGCCCCCTTCCCATCTGGACAACCTCCTAGGTGGTTTACTAGGTTCATTGGAAACTGTGTTACCTCAGGAACCGAGCCCCTAATACTGTTTCCCACATTGCCAAATATATTACATGAAATACACACAGAATATATTAAAAAAGCAGAACAACTTGAAGAAATTAGTGGCTTCCGAGTAAGTCAGGATTAAATAGCTTCAGTTAAAGGAGCCCTGGAAGTATCCAGGGACCTTGCAGAGAATTTATTTAGCTTACCCCAATGGGTTACTCCTGAGGAATGGTCCCATGTGATGATGCGTGTCATTTCCCTCTTGGGAACAGCAGTGACCTGGAAATAACGCTCCATCGGCTGGGTGGGATGAGGAAGCCGGAAGCTGATCTTACCTGTGCAGCTGCAGGGAAGATTCAGGGCTCAACTCTGGGCCGCTTTCTATCCCACAGGAGTGGAACACCAGTGGCATCCAGTGGCCTGTCAGACCAATCACAGGTTGGAATTCTCACCCATACTTAAGCAGGAATCTTTCCTTTTCCTCCAAATCAGGTAATGGGCCAAGCTCACTCATGGTGAAGTTAAATTGGGTGATGGCCTGGGGTAGCTTGAATTGCTGATTCGGTTTCTGAATCAGAGCATGAATGGTGATCATCAGAGAGACCAGCTGGGCAGATAAACTAAGTCATGCCCTCTAATGTGGTGGCCATTAGGGTTTTTCCCAAGCCCATCAATGCATTTTGTGAGTGGACTCTCTCTTTTTCTATTTTAGAAATAATTATAGAAATTAATGACGTGTCAGTGTTTAATAACACTTGTGTGAGGTGGCAAATAAACCCAGGAAGAATAAACTCCAAGATCGTATATGTGGTAAGTAAAGTGAGCTCCTTTTTCCTGCTAGGGCAGAAATGGTTACCATGGGAATAAGAGTAGGAGGGACTTGCTTCCGGAAGTGCTTCTCAATCTAATAGCTTTCCAATCCCATAGTCCTTTAAAAAAGTGAACAGAATTTTAAAGATATCTGGATTATTTTATTTTACATTTTGAGTTTAGTCTATTTGTCATCCTCCATATATGTGTGTGGGATGTATTTATATTTGGCATCATCATTATCGCTTGTTTGCAAGCTCTTGTATTTCACTCCCCCAGAACAAGCCTAGAAGCATCTGCTGCCTCAGTGACAGTTTACAGTGAGCGGGTCTCAGGTTGTGTTGCCTCCATTGATTGCTGGTCATTTGAGTGCAGGATAGCACTCCCTGGAGATACTCCTCATTTTATGTCACTTCTCAGCATTTATGAATTACTGGGCTGATCAGATTTCATCATCAGATACCTGATAGCAGAGGTTTGCCCTATTTATCTCCCCTGGGGTGAGCAGTGCAGTATTAAAGGGAGTAGTAAGGGAGTAGGTTCCAGCACCACAAAAATCTCTCTTGTTTGTTTTAACTGAAGTCCTGGTGGGTTCTCTTGTCTTTTCCCCTCACAAAGATATACATAAAAGGACAACAGTTGGACCCTATGGAAACAGTTCATGAGGAGACAGTTAATTTGACCACAGACAACAGGACCCCAGAAGTGTGCCTAGATCTGTACCAGGGCACCAACTATACCATGCACATTTCTATTGCCTCTCCCAGACGCTCTGTGCCAGCCATCATTGGGTTCCAGACAACTGGTAGGTGGAGGTGAAGTCTCATTTCCTCCTAGAAAATGCTAAGCACAGGATGTGGGAAAATGTGCTTCAGAATCTACTGGTCAGGAGAGTTCACGGTTGCTTTCTGAGATTTGTAGCCGGGGGATTAATCGCTCTAGGGCTCAGAACCAGAGCGGGTCTGGTAGGAGAGATTCCTATCCTATTGATGCCAGGCTGAATGGTCACTGATGTATTGATTCTCAGCTGCGTCCTCTGGTTGACGTGGAAGGTAATGAGGCATTTAAAAGAGGAGAGCAGTAGGTGATGATGCAGTCCATTTCAGTTATCCAAGGCAATAGAGGGTAGCCACATGGCTTATCTTTGGTAGGAAACTCAAAAGTCATTCACTCTTGCCTATGGGAAAGGTGGAGCCAGGGAGGCTGACCCAGGAGCTGTGCTCCAGGATGGGAACTGACCCTAGGACTGATTGGGGGTGGGGAACTGAGCTGAGAGTGGGCAGGTGGAGAGGGGGAGGCAGCCCTAGGATGCAGGAGGGTAGATGTGGGGTGAAAAGAGGCGTGGACAAGAAGGAGCTTCAAGAAGTCATAACAAACCCCAAGGCACATAGTTATCACATGGATTTTTATATCATCACGACAATTACAGTAAGTTTTTCTTTTTTTCCATAATTCTGGTTGTGGGGTGGGTGTCAGGACTAATTAAACTCCTAATAAGCAAACCTTGAAAAGCCATGGGTGTCATTTATTATTTTGGATGAGTTGAGGTAGTTTTCAACTAGCTGTTTGATGTCCTAATTAAGAAAACTCAAGCTTTAGGTGTTGCTGCCACTAGGAACTGGGAAGTAACATGGATGTTGCAGAAATAACTGAAGTCTGCCAGTCTTAACAATATCAAGCCAGCTATGAAATTATACAAAGTAGGTCTCAGGGTACTTGTATATAAATAAAACAAAATGATTTATTTCTAAGTAAATACTAGGTAGGG